CTGTTTCCCAGGCGTGTCCTGCAGCCTGTCAGCCTCCAGGGTAAGCTCCTATTAGAGCCTTTAATCCAGCTCCTGGAGCTTGCTGTCCTTATGGATTGTCCTCCCAGCCCTCCAGAGCAAGGAGGGAAATGTGATAACACTTCCCATGTGAGATAACAGCCCTGCTGCTGTCAGCCCGAGCACACCGGGCTGACTGAGCCCTCCCAGCCCTTCCCTCAGGCTTTTTTTGGGGAAGCCAGCATGAAATATTTCTGCTAAAACCCCATTTCAGGCTGGCTTTGGTCTGTGCCTCATCAAAGGCTCTGTTTTGCAGGTGCTGCTGCTCACAGAGGGGATGTGGAAAGCCCTTTTCAAAGGCAGACAGCTTTGCTAAGCTAAGCTTGTTTTTTAGGCTCAGCTTTTCCTGTTTTGAGCTTGAACTTCACATGACTGTAGCATAAGCAGAAAAACCAGTGGGGGTGGAAATCAGTGGGGAAGGTGAAGTTGAATTTTCTGGGTGTTTCGTGGACAAATATCTGCCTGCTCCTCTCGCTGGTCTCCATCCCAGTGGAACATCTGGAGCAAACAGCTGCTTCTGCTTTGCTGCTCTACAAAAGGGGTTTTTTTATCCTTTGGTTTGTGCTGCAAGCAAAGCTGCCCCCACCCAGCCCTGAGCTGCTTTCTGTTGGCCACGACCTCATTTGTCACTTCTCCAAGTCAGCCCTAATATAGAGAAATCCCGGTGGCTTTTCCCCACTTGGCCAGGAGAAGATGCACTGCCCATTATGGAGCTGGGTTCCACTTTGGGTGTCTTCCCAGAACCTCTTAGTGCAGCCTGAGGCTGGTGAGTGCCCTGGGAAAGGATTTTATGACATGGCCTGTTTGCCTCTCTTGCAGTGCGTGCTGTATTTATGGAGTTTAAAGATAAATCATCCCAAAACGTTGTTCCTCCTTCGAGGGAACCACGAGTGCAGGCACCTCACAGAGTACTTCACCTTCAAGCAGGAATGTAAGTATCAGCAGTGGGAGAAGGATTTGAATCCATTTAAATAATACATTTTAAAATATATTTTTTTTTAAAAAAAAGGTGTTGTGAGAAGGCGTGGGCTTCAGTTTTTGTGCCTCAGAGCTGTAAAAACCTGTTGTCTTGTTTTCCTGCTATAAAAAATACCCCAAACCCCAAATCTTTAAGTTCTGCTAAGCACCAAATGTGGCCTTTTTGGTTTCAAAGGCTGAGTGTGGATGGAAGAAATGGGAACACTTCTCCCCTGGTGAGGCAGGCACACACATCCTCCCCTCCCTGACTTCCAGCATGAAATCAGTGCCAAAAGCCTTCCAGCTCCAGATTGTGCAGCTGGGATCAGTGACTGGAGCTGCAGTGGGGGAAGGATTTGCTCCTCCCTGTTTGCACTGGGGAGGATCATTTACCTTTCAAATGGTTTTTGCAGTGAAAAGATGAGTTTGTTGTGCACAGCATCTCAATGTTTTTAAAGCGGTGCTGAGGGGAGGTCGGGGAACGATGGGTGTCTGTCATTCCAAGGAATAAAAGAGGTGGAGAACTCAATGCAAAGCTCCTTTAGGGAATTCTTGCTCAAGGACCCGACCTCCAGAGATAATTCTGGGCAAGGCACAAATCCAATCTTTATCCCTTCAACTCTGGGTGCTGCTGGATGGGGGAAGGCTCAGAGGGGATGAGCCCCTGTTCTGTTAACTCAGGAATGAGCAGGGAAACAGCTCCCAGCTCTGTGCTGGCTGCTCTGCCCCTCACCTGCACACAGGCTGTGGAGAGCCTGGTTCAAGCATGGCTTAAAGAAAGAGGCCATGAAGTAAATGAGCCT